CCGATTTTATATCAATTTGTGGACAACCATTTCCACCTTGATCAGTTATCAAATTAACTGATTAAGTAATAACCCTATACCCTCGGTTTCGTTACTATATATATATATATATATATATATATATATATATATATATATATATATATATATATATATATATATATATATATATATATATATATATATATATATATTAGGGATGGCAATTTGTAATCGGTTAACCGGTTACTCGGTCGGAACGATGGCAATCGGTTAGAAAATCTGTAATCGGTTAGTCGGAAAAAAATTAATATATGTGTAAATTTGAATACAATTCCCTGAAAATTCAATTTAAAAAATACAAATAAAATTTTCTGAAATGTTAGCATGTTCACCTATCCATTTAAGCTGATTCGGAGATAATTAAGGCTCTCCAGATTGACATCGCGTGGGGGGTAATTGGTCACTTTTCGAGTCGTTGATTGCTGTTTAAACACTCGTCGTTACACACCATGTCCTGTGTTTCTTTAATGATTTTAATTAAATGATCTTTGACTACTGTCAACTGATTATAAGGTGTACCTTACCTCTTCTATCCTTTGCAGTTACCTATCAAACTATATTCTAAAACAAACATCGTAAGATAAGCGATAATTCAGACAATTTTGATAATGGTGACAATGCAGAATGAACTTCCTTGACATCTTTTCTGAATTTTTTTTAATGCATCTGCAACTTCAGTTTAAAATTGAAATACAATATATGTAGTATTCCGATCATATATAAATATAAGCATAATATTACTACATGAACATCTTTATAGTCTTTACAGTTTACTTTTGAGTGTAGCTATGTCGAGAATTTTTGATACGATTAACCGACTAATCGGTCGGAACGTCTTGCGGTTAACCGATTGGCAATTCTGTATTCGATTGCCATCCCTAATATATATATATATTGCTCATTGAGCTCGATTTCGTGGGCATTTCCTTTTTGCGTTATAGCGCTAAACTTTTACGAATGAAAGTATAACTGTTGCGTAATATGAGAAACTCAAGCAAATATACGAGTATAAAAGCGCCATAATTTTGCCGGGAAATTTAAGCGTTATGTCGCGAAAGCTTCTATATATTTTTATATTTTTCTTAGAAAATCATGGCCAGAAACACGTTTAGATTCTTTACAGTACCGTTGTCAGAGACCTTTTCTAAAGAACTGCGAACGATAGCATTGTTCTCCCGCCTACCTCCAAGTCAATTTTCAAAAGTTAACACATTTGAATGATTTTTCATATCTAATATAGATATTTATATGAATTTTCATAAAACATTGTTTCTTTGGGAAAACAAAGAGAGATAACTCTATAATTTTGGTAAAACTTGTGTTTTTCACTATAGAAATCAACGGAAAACGGAAAATATTTTTAACCCCCCCCCCCGGTGAAACAAAAATTCCTTTTACAGGTAATATGGGCTATTATTTCACAAATTCATGCATAAACTTTTTGTGTTTCACGGGGAGGGGGGGGGCATATGTCTACAGACAAAAAACTACAAAAATGCTTATTTTCCCCCAATTTCAAAGCGGTTTACAACTAAAGCATCGCATTTTATTGATAATGTATGTTTAATTTTATATGAGTAAAACATAAGAAAAGATTTAAGGAACATTTATTCATATCTAAGAATATTTTAAAATGTGGTGATACTTTAAAGCAAAATTTCAATGAAAAATATCGTCTACCCCCCTTATTTTATTAGTTGGAATTAGGGGTAATTAACTATTTAACACTGGAATTAAAATTATCAGTCAATTACCATTGAACTGTTCTTTGTATTCAACAAAGATTTTACGGCCAAATTGCCATTAGTATTGATTTAAATGGGTGTAAAATGTAGGCGGGAATCGAGAGTTAGCGTGCGTAGTTCTTGGTTGTCATGACCTCACAGGTGAGGTTAAGATGATATCTGTCCGGTGTCATAACTTCAGAGAACTAATAATTAGTTTTATTTCATTTTCCAAGTGAGTTAATTGATTACAATCTTTCAAATTGCAATGGGGAACAGAACTGACAATATATTTGTAGGTGCATCAATAACGTCAGATATTAACAGGTTATATTAAAGTAATTTGCGTTGGCGATACACCACCCTGCTTGCTTAAAACATATTTTGATTCGTTTATATTTTCTTTGAAATGAACATATGTTTCTTTTATACAATAAACAATACCCAACACTAGGTACAGGTAATATTATGAGGTATAGTTAGCCCCTGAAATAAAAATCAAAGCAAACTAAAACAGAAAAAAATTGCTGCAATTCAAATTATGTCCGTTGTCATGACAAGTTACGAAAATTCAGTCCGTTGTCATCGGTCCGTTGTCAGAATTGTACCGCAAACAACATTGGTAAGCATTTAATTTATCAATAATACCTCAAAATAGAGGGATAAGATGCTGGAAAGGAAAACCGGTCATATCATTTCGCCGAACGAATATGTAATTCGTCCGAACAAATTTCTAATTCGTCCGAACAAATATCTAATTTGTCCGACTGAATATCTAATTTGTCCTTACAAATATCTTATTCTTCCGAACAAAATAAATATATATATTTTTTTATCTGGCCCTCCAACGGCGCCGTAGGTTTCGAACAATGGCTATTAATAGAAAAGGACTATATTCGGTAATGACCAAAATTTGCCCCCAAAATCAAACTTTGTCGGAGAAATATATAATTATGTTCTAAAACAGGGGAATATCTGCAGACTTCAAAGCACTGAATATTTTCATAAGCCATGACGCCATATGTTAGATATGGCGTCAGAAAGGTGACGTAAATTCAAAATTTCCATGATTTATACAGAAAAAGTGTACGTCGATATTTTGAGTAAAAGTCACCGAGCGCAGGTCTGCTCCAACTCAATATTTTGATATAATGTGTAGAGTGATAATATCAATGAAATATGTAAATATTGTTGAGTAGGCCCGCGCTCTATAAATTTTATAGTAAAAATTAAACAAATTTTGTCCATTTTTTCCTTTTTCTGAAAAATAACACAAAATCCGAATAGTTTGTGACGTCATAGACACAAAAGTTGCCAATAATCTACTTTGAAACTATAATATTTTTTGTTAATTTAGATTTCTCACACAATATATACGATTCAGCACATTTCAAGAACTTTTCAAAATATGGCTTTTGTGGGGGCAAAAATGTGCATATACCGCATATAGTTCTTTAAAAACATGTTCCATCGGTAACATTGTACTGATTCTTCTTTAATTGTTTCTAGTAGAAAACCTGAATAATCCAAATTAAATTCAAAGGACCAATCTCATTATAAAACAAAAATAATTGAAATATCAATGGGTGGACGATTTAATGACAAAGGAATTTAAGATTTACTGAGCTTCAAAGTTAGACTTTTAAGGGTAACAACTTAGCAGCACGAAGCGCATGTAGTGCATGGTTAGAGCATTTCACTCTCGTGTGGAGGAGCAAGAGAATTGATCCTTACGTCACTGGTTCAATTCTCAACGCGGACGTCGAGACCGGCATACTATTCACTATATCTATCATGATTTTTTTGGTACTGCTGATATTTTAGTAACTGTACACGTTATAATAACTGTATGCACACCAATATACATGCACGTACCTAGTAGAATTAGAATTGAATAACTTTATTGCATTTTTTCTATTTCAAATTGTTGAACTTTGAGCTGCTTTCAGACAACCACTATTACTACAATCATCATGATATTTGCTTAAATCTGTTATCTTTTCCTGCATATAGCATCGCTTTTGAAAGTTGGGGGAGGGGCTAGGACAGTAATTGGAAATTTACCTGAAATTTCTTTGACAAACTACAGAGAGAAGATAACCCTATATAGGGGGTGGCTTAATTTTTTGGACAAGAGAATTGACTCTACTGTAACAAAAAGCGGGGGACTGGGGTTGGGGCAACCGGCCTTTCAAAGAATACTTTCATACTATTTAAATAAACGGTATGATTAAATTTGAACCCCACCCCCACCCCCTCCCGATATTATGTGCCTTAAGAATAAATAAATTTGACCATTTCCGCACCATTTCATAGATAGACTTACATGTTAAGACAAGTGACACCGGACCATATCAACTTAACATGTACTGACAACGGACATTTTGCTTATAAATGTCAAGTTCTCATATAGTATGCGTTCTGCAAAAGGCTGTAATATGTCAAATGAAATGAAAATGGAGCAACTGTTCAAACTAAGAAATTAAAATGTTTTTTTTTAAATAAACTGACGACGAAAAATATTTTTTTTTTCACCGAAACATCCATGCTTTTACACTATGGTATGTGTTTGCCAATCAAAACTACTCGGGATATGTTTAGTATAACAGAGACGTGAATGTTTGTCGTGAATACTGAATGCTGTATCTGTTCCCCAGTACTTAAGTGTATCCCTGGAATTGAATAAAAACATGAATTTTTATGCATTCAGTAAAAATTCTTGTATATTTTGAATGACACCGGACGGGCATTATCTTAACCTCACCTGTGAGGTCATGACAACGAACAATTTTAGTGCTTAACTTTAAAGGTCTCTCTGACAACGGTACACTAAAGGAACTGAAGTGTGGCCGCACAATATGTTTTCCTATGTATTTTTATGATGAGCAAAGAAATCTCGTATGGTGTAAAACTTAGGCCTAAGTTTGACCTAACCATACTGAACATAGGCGAAGGAGTACGAATGGGGGGGGGGGGATTCCCCCTAGTGAAAAGGAGCAAGAGTACCTTCGTGCCAACTTTTTGGGTTGGAATAGTAAATACTTCCCAAAAAATGTTGGATATTCTTACGATTATGGTCTATTTTTCTCTCCCCCCCCCCCCCCCCCCCCCACAATCTATACACAAGCGATTTAAGTGATGCGGAAAACATTGTTCTGTTCTTGAAGGTTTTAACTTTTACAGTATTTCCGATATCCGTAAAAGGGGGAGGGTTACTCAGGGTAGGCGTTAATTTACGCGTACTTGGTGACGACAATGCGGTCATGCTAACGCATAAAAGAATTGGTTGTATAGTGTGTTAATTGAAGTCAACTACTTGCTTTCCTGTGTGCGTTGCATTAAAGGCCAGAGCAAGGATTTAGCGTGTTCGTTTCGAATCGATCAGCTGTTCACGAAACTGTTGTCACATATAAGTGCTAGATATGGGGGACACTCACTTACTAGCGACCAAATCAGAATATCAAGAAAATCAACAGAGGTGCTTTGACTTTGCTGCAGAGAGGGAAAATTCTGTAAAATCTTTGCTTACTTCTCTTTCTGTACGAGACTCTGGAGATATGAAAAAGCAGGCAGATCAACAATGTGACACTACGAGGAATAACATGGATGGACTGAGCTCAGAGAAACTTCTCCAGGAGAAATTGTCCAGTAACTACAAAGACATACTTGGTGAACTAGGTGAAGATCCTACAAGAGCAGGTCTTCTAAAAACCCCAGAAAGGGCAGCAAAAGCTCTGATGTTTTTCACAAAAGGATACAGGGAAAGTATGAACGGTGAGTAATTGACAATTTCCTTCATCCTGTTTATGTTCTAATATGTTATGATTATTAGAGATGTTGGATTATAATTTAGTTTACAAAGTTTATTTTAAACTACATTAGCAATATAATTTCTTTTCTACTATGTACCTAGTCATTCATGTATTAACATATTACAGCATTTATTTTTTAATTACATGTCGAATTGAACCCCCCACCTTTACACCTTTTGTCGGCTTGTCTTGAGTATTATTGTGCTGCTATTGTATATCAGCTTTTATTGGCATGGTAATTAATGTACAAGGACTGTGAAAAACACAAGTTGGTAATTTGTATAGTTTTGTTAAAACTGGGATTTGGTCAATATATATGGGAACTGATAAACAGTAATTAATGGTCTTGTTTAACCACTTTAGATAATAATAATAATAATAATAATAAGCATACGAAAACTGATATTAAAAAAAAAACAATCAATTGGTAAATTTACCCTGTATATGAAAGACACCACAGAAAGTTATTGTGCACAGTTGCATTTAAACGATTATTAATAGACTGATATGAGTGCACTAACTATTGAATCATAAAAAAATCACTTCTGAAATGACTTGAAATGTTTCATTGTCTATCATCATGAACCAATTATTTTGCAGTTGCTAATATGAATGCAAATTTAGTTGTTTAATATGCATATAAGCATTATTTTTGTCCTGTGCAGCATATAAATTTTAGCATTAACAGCTAGTGTTTGATTTTGGTTCGGAGTAATTCAGCCAAAATGCTTTTAGAGCTCTACCTAGCTTAACCTTTAATTGATACTAGGTGATGAAGGCTTCTCTTGTTTTTTTAGATTTCTACCTAGCTTACCTTTAATATTAGGTGATGAAGTCTTCTTTAGTCTTTAAGGGTTCTACCTAGCTTATAATACCTTTAATATAGGGCGATGAAGACTTCTGAGTCTTTCAGGGTTCAACCTACCTAGATTAATTATCTTTAATATAAGGCGATGAAGGCTTCTTTAGTCTTTATAGACTCTCCTTCAATATTAGGTGCTGAAGGCTTCTGTGGTTTTTAGAGCTCTACCTAACTTACCTTTAATATTAGGTGCTGAAGGCTTCTGTTGTTTTTTAGAGCTCTACCAAGCTTACCTTTAATATTAAAAATATTTGGTCTGTTGCAAAATCTTGAGTCCAATTATTTCTTTTTCCTTATAGTCATAAAAATAAAATGCATTTGTGACTATTATCAAAAGACTAATGAACTGCAATATTAATTTAAGAACTGAACATCTGTAAACTTTTTTCTAATTTAATGAATATTAACTTAATATATTCTTCAAATGCTAGTGAAGAAGTCATCATTATCCATTGTAAGGTCAGTTTATTTATGAGGACAACTGAAAGGTTTGGAATTTTGGTACAAAAAACGAACCGAAGTTCACTGGCATTAAGTATACAAGTGTCCAAAGCTAATTGCTTCGAGTTCAAGCTATCTGTACGTATTGGCAATTTACACAAGAAATAGGGAATGTGATTGCGAAACAGAAATGTTTAGGAAATCAGTGGGAGAACATCAATATTCATTGATGTAAAGCCATTTACAAGAGGCTGAAAGCCAGGGAGAGGGACAAAAATCAACATCTAAGTCATGACTATTTAGATGGACAGTATTGATTCTATTTAACTTAACAAAAGTATTGATATCAATGCCAATTTTTTGCAAAGGGGATATTGGGTAAGATCTGTTTGGATAACGAGTGGAGGATGGTTCTATATATATGTACAATTTTTCATGTTGCGTCACTTGTGATGACATATGCAAAAACATTCGGCTTTGATTTAGTCTCAAGTTAAATGGGGGTTTTTACTGGCTCTGGAAAACTAGACAGTCTCGATTTAGGGCAATCATTTTCTGACTTTCATCTGATCACTCCCAGATAAACCAATTGATTTTTGAGGAGGATGTATTTATATTGCAATAGAGGCATTTTATGTATAATTGCCTGCGTTGGCGACTTTTTGTTTGGAATTTCAAACAATTTTATTGCAAAATAAAGGACAGCAAATCTTTTTCAATTTGTTTTGTTGAAGCTTTTTAGCACAATTTCTGAAATTAAAATATGTGACAAAGACAGTGACTGACTTTATAACATTGGACAATTTTTGATGATAATGTAAAAGGAGAGAGAGACTTAAGGCCACACCCAGTGCTGCAGTATGTTAAAGTTTTAAAGCCAGGCAGTTTTGCACTGGTCCCATAAAAAAAGAATTTCTTAATCAAATATTTTGATAATTTTTACAATCACAGAAGAAATTTTTGTTAATTAAAAATCAAGAGTTGGCCGCATAGCGCAGTGGTTAGTGCATTTGCTCTTGAGTCAGAGTGTAAGGAGTTGATCTTTATGTTGTGGGTTTGATTCCACTGTGCAAGGTGGAGACCAATCCTTTGGATGAGACCATATAAACCGAGGCCCTGTGTCGCAGTAGGTGCTGGCACGAAAAAGATCCCTTACTGCTCAAAGGCCGTAAGTGCCAGGTACAGGTCTAAATTTGCAGCCCTCCACCAGCAAGTGGTGGCTTCTCAATTTGAGTGAAAAATTCTCGAAAGGGACGTTAAACAACAAACAAACAAAAATCAAGAGCAGATTTTGCAATGGCTTATAGATTATACATTTAGATAAAACTAAAATCATCTTAATATTTATTTTGTTCCAGAAGAAAGATTCAATTTAATGTTTAAATTTCCATGTTGTGTATAATGGCAAAGAGAAGGTAAAATTTCTTGGTGTTATATTTGAAAATCTTTTAAGTAGTGAAAGTATTGTTGAATCAATTGTTCAGAGTTAATAACTGTACTAGCTAGTGGCAAGCCTAATTTTTAGGTACATTTTGTAAAAAGATTCTTTGTTCAGCACTGTATACCGGTATATGTCATATTGATTATGCTTGCAGTGCAGGTTATTCAGGGCTTTTTAAGACCAAATTACAAATGTATCAAATTAATAGTTTGATTTATTTTGAATTTGGGTTCACAATCTAACTATAATTCAGTTCTCAGCCAAGGATATATTTTAAATATACAAGATAAGATGTCTCAGCTCAGAAAACCATGTATTTAATGTTTTTTCAAGGACAAGTCCCTTCTTGTCCTGCTGAAAAGATTTTAATTCAGTCTAATTTTAGTACTTATCAATTACTAGATCGTCCAGATTTTGCAATACCAGCTGTATGTATTGATCAGCTGGACAGAGTAATCCATTGTCAAATTCGGTATAAAAACAATGACTTGATTTAAGAATTGGTATGAAACATACAGAATGTGACCCAGCGATAGTTTGTATTTGCAAACAAGGTCATTATATCATATTTTTATTCTCTTCATTTTCATCAAAATTATCTTTGACATAAAGAATACCATCTAGTTAAGCTCAGGTTATTCCAATTTTCAAAGCAAAAAAATTTTTTTTGCTTTAAATTTAAACAAAGAATTAAATGCTAAGAGAAGTTCATCTTTCTTGAAAAAAATGTTGTTTCTATATTTAACATAGATAATATTGACAAATGTAGAATTTGTATACTAATTTTTTTTGTCATATTCTTAATCCATGATCATGCTTTAGTTAGCAGCTCTAAGGATTTACTTTCAATGTCCAATGTATTTATCCACCCTTTTCAATAATTTTAATGTTATTTGTCAAAAATCAAGTTAAAAAATTATTCAGATTTCCAAGACTACACTTTTATGCAGCACAAGAATTGGATGTATGAGATTTCATACAACACAATAAAGAGAGACAAATATTATAGATCTGAGGCCAATTGCTCAAAGATCAAGGTCCATATGTCAAGATCAGTCAGCACACTGCAGTAGCAGGAGCCTGTACATTTTCTAATGACATCAATGTTTATGGTGGTTTTTAATATTTTACCTGTAGTGTCATCTAAATAAATATTACTGTAGTTGAGGCCGACAATGGAAAACTAAAAATGGGTAAAGTTTATGTTTGATATTTTCATTTGAGCTAGTTATAACTGTCTTAACTGATCATTATTTAGAAAAAAAGAGATCCAGACCATAATGAAAACAAAAAGTGATGCTGTATTTTAAAAACCAGAAAGCAAAACCCTAAAGTCTTTTCATTCATACTGTTATGAATATATGATTGCAGATGTTTTGAATGATGCCATATTTGATGAGGACCATGATGAAATGGTGATAGTGAAGGATATAGAGATGTTTTCTATGTGTGAACATCATATGGTGCCTTTTATGGGGAAGGTCAGTATTCCATCATTCTTGATTCATCACTGTAAAGTGTATTATTTTCAGGTGTTGGTGTACAATACTTTCCTGTGTCAAAATCCATAAAAAGAAATCAACTGTGTTCATTAAGATATCAATAAAATGTATATCTCTTTTCAGGTGTCCATAGGATATTTACCAAACAAGCGGGTTCTTGGTTTAAGTAAACTAGCTAGGTAATTACTCCAGGCTTCATGATTTTCATAACAATTTGTTTTCTTCAAAAAAAAAAAAATACAGATATGGTAATTTGAAAGTGCAGAATAATTGGATGATGGCAACTTGAATTTATTTCTAGAGAAATTTAATCAAATGAAAATTTACATATCCACATTTAATGCTTGAAAACATTTTGATAAAGAAAAAATATCAAACATTTGAAAATAATTCTATTTTAAGTAAAAATGTTTCACTTGAAACATACCTCAGCATCACTTCACTGAAATGTCTTTAATTGGCATTAAATCATTCTATAAATATGTATATATGTGAATTCAAACTATTATTTAATAAAAAAAAAATGAATGTTAATTTAGGGTATGTTCTATCTTCTCCAGAATTGTTGAAGTATTCAGTAGAAGACTGCAAGGTAAAATTGTTTGTTTTTTTTAAATTCTCAGTTTTATAGATTTTTTAGATTTCCTGGTAGAAGAACATATTATTTTTCTATTAACTCTTTATTAAAAGTTTTGCATAAAAGGGATTTCAGAACACAATATTAATCATTAACTTAATCCATTGGACATCAAATTGCATCAAATCATTAAACACTTTTTCAGAACTTCACCAAAACTGCTGCCCCATTTTGAAAATGTCTGAGTGATACTTTGGTGGTTTTTATTATACCTTAAATTTGCTGGTATTCCCCAGAATGTAAATGATTAATTTGCTTAATCACTAAAATTCAATTGAATTCACTATTGTCTGCAAAAAATGGACCCTGTTATATAAGATCAAGCTTTGACACTGACCTAAATCAACTAATACATGTATTGGTAGAGATAATGTAGAGAACAAATTAGCAAACAGCTTTAAATATTCTATCAGCAGCATTGTAGCAAGACAATAGATCTAAGGTTATAACTTTAATATCAATTTAATTAAAGAGTTAAGGTATATATCAGTGAGAGAATAAGAAAGAATCTAATTCCCTTTATCAGACTTATTTCTCTTTTGATTTTCCTCTGGAAATAGATTTAATCTTGGAAATCAGAATTGTGCTATGACTCCTGTAATGATGTAGTAAGAGCTATATACTTTGCACATATAAAAGTCAGAATTTCCATACACGCTATTAAACCATTATGGTCAATGATGAAAAAAAATAGGATAAACTGTATATGAAAAAAATCCACATTTAATGTTATTTAAAACCAGTATTGATTTTGGTTGACAGCATGCACAGAGACTACAAGCAGTATAGAGAAAACAAATAATTCAAAGTTCCCCATTTTCAAAATTTTCATGAAATTTTGAATACAAATATAGTGCCACCAAGCCTACTTGGATTATCACTCAGACGATGTACTTGAAAGTAGTAGCTTAATTTGGCATATATACAATATAAGCTGGCTTGTGCTCTGTGGTAGTGCCTTTTTAAAGTTCATGGAAATTGAATAAAGGTGTATAATAATTCACAGGCCTGTAGCAATGGTTTCAAAAGTTTGGGGGGGGGGGAACTTCCCAAAGAATCTGACAAGCAAAAAAAAGCTAATTTTTGTCCAAATCCTGGAATTTACCAGTGCTTGACCTTACAAGATCAAAAAGTGTGTATGTTTGTGTTGGTGGGGTGGGGGGTGGGTGGGGGACCAGCTTTTAAAGGAAATTTTACTATAGCAAAAACTATACTCAGAAAAAGGGGGAGCAGCCCCCCCCCCCTTTCTAAGGGCCTGATACAGATATTGGACAAATTTATGTCCTTTCAGTAATTTTTGTGTATGCTTCACTTAAAATCGATTCCAATTTTGAAACTTGCTATTTACTTGTGCTTGATTATAATTTTAATTTCATTGTACAGTGTATTTTTAGCTCACCTGAGCTGAAAGCTCAAGTGAGCTTTTCTGATCACATTTTGTCTGTAGTCCGTCTGTCTGTCTGTCTGTCTGTCTGTCCGTCTGTCCGTCGGTCTGTAAACTTTTCACATTTTCGACTTCTTCTCCAGAACCACTGGGACAATTTCAACCAAACTTGCCACAAAGCATCCTTGGGTGAAGGGGGTTCAAGTTTGTTCAAATGAAGGGCCACGCCCTCTTCCAAGGGGAGATAATGAAGAATTGGTGAAAATTTGGTGTCATCTTTTAAAAATCTTCTTCTCAAGAACCATTGAGCCAGAAAAGTTTATACTTATGTGAAACCTTCATTACATAGTGTAGATTCAAGTTTGTTCAAATCATGACCCCCTGGGGTAGGGTTGGGCTACAATGGGGGATCAGAGTTTTACATAGGAATATATAGGGAAAATCTTTAAAAATCTTCTTCTCAAGAACAACAAAGCCACAATTAGTCATATTGATATGGAATCATCCTCAGGTAGTGTAGATTCAAGTTTGTTCAGATCATGACCCCCAGGGGTAGGTTGGGGCCACAATGGGGGATCAAAGTTTTACATAGGAATATATAGAGAAAATCTTTAAAAATCTTCTTTTCAAGAACATCAAAGCCACAATTAGTCATATTGATATGGAATCATCCTCAGGTAGTGTAGATTCAAATTTGTTCAAATCATGACCCCTGGGGGTAGGGTGGGGCCACAATGAGGGATCAGAGTTTTATATAGGAATATATAGAAAAAAAAATCTTCTTCTCAAGAACCACAGAGTCACAATTAGTCATATTGATATGGAATCATTCTCAGGTTGTGTAGATTCAAGTTTGTTCAAATCATGACCCCTGGGGGTAGGGTGGGGCTACAATGGGGGGATCAAATTTTTACATAGGAACATAAAGGGGAATTCTTTAAAAATCTTCTTCTCGAGAACAACAAAGCCACAATTAGTCATATTGATATGGAATCATCCCCAAATATTGTAGATTCAAGCTTGTTCAAGGCATCCTCCAGCAGTAGGGTGGGGCCATAATGGGGGATCAAAGTTTAACAAAAGATCATATACAGGAAATATCTTTAAAAATCTTCTTCATTCTCAAGAACAACAAAGCCATGATCAGTCATATTGATATGGAAGCATCCTCAGGTAGTGTACATTCAAGTTTGTTCAAATCATGCAATCATGAACCCCCCCCCCCCCCCCAAGCAGGGTAGGGTGTTAGACATATCTAAAATTCTGTTTTAAAGAATAGCAAAATCATGATTAGTTATATGAAGATAGAAGCATCCTCAGAAGGTTTATATTCAATTTCATTCAGAACATGGCACCTTGGGGTAGGGTATGCCTAGAACAGGCGATTAAAGCTTTATACATGAATATATAGGAGAAATATAGGAGAAGAAATCTGCTGACGAAGAACAGCAGGGCCATATTGATTCAGGTGAGCGTTGTGGCCCATGGGCCTCTTGTTTTTAAAAATAAATTGAAAATGGATTGGACAGCAGGCACTGCATTGCTGCATTGTAAGTCCTCCTCTGCTTGTTTACAAAGTGTTCCAGTGTTTTTAAAAGAGAGTTAAAAGGAGGCAAAAAGTTGCTGAACTTACTGTCACAGTGGTTTAAGAAATACCAAATTCATTTATGTTATTTATGATAAAGGAGATTTAATTCGTGGTTGTCAGTTTTATGAATTTTTTGATGGAAATCTGTTTGCTGCGAAATAGTTATCTATGTTACAACTATTAATTTAAATATTAAACCAAAATTTAAAATAAGAGATACCCAATTATATTTCATATCAAATTTTAGGTGTCTGGTATAATCTTCAAATGTGAAATGGTAAATATTTTTAGTACATAGAAAACCCATTGCTTACTAATATTTAATGCATTTTATTGCATAATTATAAGAATTTGAATATTTTATAAACTTTTTATGCATTTTGCAAACTTATTTTATGAAAAAAAAATCTCAAATGATATTTTGATAAACATTTTGTTTTAAAGATATTTCTTTTCTTGAAAATATTGGAGCATGACTATGTTCACCTGAAATAATTTTGACGAGAGCTATCTATTTATAGATTAGTAAACTTTTTTTTTGAGTAAGGGTGTGTAAGAAAAAAGCATGAAAAGATGAATTTATAATTATCCTCAGAAAAAAATGTGCATGGAAAATAGTTTCTATTTGACTCTTTGCCAAGTTTGACTTGTTCTATAGTGTATAAAATTATTAATGACAACATAGCATGAGAATTACTTGGACATTATCCAAGATTAGAATAGACTTCTATCTTCAATTTTTCTTCCAATTTTATCAAATTTATCCTTATAACAGTATTTATTCCTTTAATGCTTTAATTTTTTATGCATGATACCTGTATATTATTGCTTTGTTTTTAGGGCACCTTAGTCACTTAAGTGATCTATTATTATCTGTTCTTGTAAACCGTTCACGGTAGCTCAGTCGGTAGAGCGCTCGCTCCGTGATCGGGAGGTCGTGAAATCGAATCTTGGCCTCGACTGACCCAAGTCGATAAAAAATGGGTAGCAACTGTTCCTTCGCCATGCGCTCGACACTTTGAAGTGAAAGTTGCGGGTCCTTCGGATGAAACCTTAAAAACCGAGGTCCCGTGTCAGGCAGGCAATAGCACGATAAAGATCCCTCACTGCTCAATGGCCCTGAGTGCCGAGTAAAGGTCAAAATTTGAAGCCCTTCACCGGTTTATGGTGATGTCTCTATATGAATGAAAAATTCTCGAATGGGACGTAAAACAACATACAATCAATCAATCAAATTGTTCTTGTCCATCATCGTGTGTTTTTTTTTTTAAATTTAACATTTCAGCTTCTTCTGAATGGCAATACAAGTTTCAACTATTTTAATTTATCATCTATGGACAAAGATTAAGAAATTTTATAGTGAATTTCAGAAAGTTGGGGCCAAAGAAACAAAAAAAATATGCAATATCTTCAAAAAAGTAAACTTCTGAGCATCTAGAGCAGGCAAACTCTTTTCATGATTGTATTGAGCAGTATGCATGATTTTAACATGATTAAAACAAGCAGTTCGCGTATTACATAAAATTGTGAAATTCACATCAGGCTCTACTGCAGATCTGTACTCACTGGTCTGAAAAAATGGGATGGATGACCAGAGAGCTACAGTGCCACACATTGAAACAATTGTATATTTACTGCACACAAAAATATGCATTGGTTGTCAATTTATTTCTCTGTATACTGTAAAAGTAGAAACGTTGACTATGAGGAAACATTGACGAAATTGAGAATTTCTAATAATCGTCAAAGATTCCACTCATCAGCTTTCACATCACTGTTAAAGACCATTATGAAATACTAGTAGATCGTCAAAGTTTCCACTCACCATTTTTTTCTAATGTACCGAAATCGTCAAACTTTCAACACTTCAATATATCCACTTTTACAGTATTTCAATATACATGTATTACTAACAAAAATATTCCTAACTATTTCTTTTACTACTTCCACAACAAAACTGCATGCACAAGTCATGCACAAAGCAATTTTAGAATGAATTATCTTGCCACCAAAATGGCAGTATAAATAGGTGACATTTTTTATGGTCTCATTTTCATGCCCTAGAGGGCTATTATCAATGGATTTGGGGAATATTTTGTTATGGAAGTAGTAAAAGAATATGCTAGGAACACACAGTTAGTAATATTTTGAGATGGCAGCCCAAATATACAGAGAAATAAACTGAGAAAACAGCGCACTTTTTTGTGCGCAAGAAATATACACTTTTTTCAATGGGTGGCTCTGTAGCTCTCTGGTCGTCCATCCCAATTTTTTCAGACCAGCGAGCTACGGAAGTGCAGCTAATCAGGCCCTAGATTAATTCATACGCCAGGATGAGGCTAATTTGGTCACATATTTAAAAACTTCTTCACTCTAGAGCAACTAGGAGACAAACCTTATGCAATGTGAAATTGAACAGAGTACACTACCAAACTGTAAAATCATGATTATGAGATCGAGTCAAAGGTGAGGCATGGTTGGTCATACCCAGAGAAATTCATGATACTCAGGTGACCACCAAGGCCTATTAGCTTCTTGTTTATTTAGAATACCTTTTGTATAAAAGTTTTTATAATGTTATGTTATGTTTCATTATTTCTTTTACACAGGTATTCAGATTTAGTTTTTTCCTATTAATTTATGCTATAATTCAGTTAAAGATCCTTTGTATTATTACTTCTTAATTTGTCTAAAGATGAAAGAATTTTCAAGCTAGTTATTCCAGAGCTTGCCATAAAATACTCTAATTAAGAAAGAATGGGTTTTTTTTTCCAGAAACATATGTTACATATTTTAAATTTCACTGCTCTATGACTTGAGCATAGGTCCGTGATCTTGCTTCCCTACCATGTTTTAGCCTTTGCAGACTTTGCCTTTACTATACGTTTCTATTATTTCTTTTCTTGGCATTATCATTTATTTGCCATGTCTTGATTTTAGAATTACCTCTACAGAGGATTACATGTAATTTCCAAGCAAGATCTTGCAGCACACACTTACATCTTCTGTGGAAGGCGTTTTTTAGTATAAAGTCCTCTGAGGAGTATGGCCATAGTGACAAAAGCATGACGTGCACAACATACACCATGTCAAATTTATACAGTTCTTTCCTTCTCTATTTTGGACTAAAACACTTTCAAATTCACTTCCCTTTACTTTCTGCGACTCTCAGACATCTTATGGCTTTGTCATAGTTTTGCCCACAGCACTAGTTCTGCATTCTACTGCTGAAGAGACGTGTTGAAATACTCTTCTTTGTACTTTGTTAATTAGTTTCATATAGTGCTGTTTTAGTTAGACATCATTGCAAAATCGTCACCAAAGTAAAGATCATCCAGCTGGAAGATCAACCTTATCTGGATGACAGTTCTCTTTGTACCCGTATCCATGCTTTTTCTTCTACAGAATGTCAATTTTTATTTGGAATGCCAAATAAAAAGATTTTTGAAACCCTTTTTCCTGTCAAGTAATTTAGTCAGCTGGTCATTAGAGTGGATGGTTTTTAAGGTCAGATGATTTGCTCCTTAATAATATATAATTTTTCTTATGATTTTGTCATTTAGGTATTGCTTCTTAACGTTAACTCGTAAGAAATTGAGGTGACTTTCCAGGCATTTGTGCAAGATACGAGAGGATGGTGTTTTCCATATAATCCTTTTGGGAATAAATTACCAGTATAACAGTTTTTGCTGTTTTGATTATTTTAAGAACAATTAGAAAACAGTTGAGAAATCGCAAGATAATTATAATTTTGAATATTTTTTTTATAGATTATGAAGAGATACAAAAGAGAGTTTTGAGGAACACATTGTCTGACCTTAAATTAACAAGGGGGTGTGGCCTAATTAATATAGTATATTATATATTATATAATATAGTATATTAAAAATATTATTGTAATGAGTAAACATGTTCAGAATCTTTCATGTATTTCTATGTATCTACAGTTGAATATTGTCATGCATACATAATGTTTCATAACACTTTCAACATTACTTAAGTTATATTTATTTAATTTTCATATGCCATCTTCATGACTAAAATACGTACAGTGTACTAGTACTGGTAATATATACATTGGATATATTTCAATAAAAACAGTTGTATATTTTAAGAGTTATATAAATTTCCTTTAAGTTGCTACACTGATAAAATATTTGACCAAGATATTACAATTTTGGTGTAAAATTACATATAGACGTTCAAACTTTTCAGTTCAAGAAAGATTGACGAAGCAGATTGCTGTGGCACTCACAGAAGCTGTGCAGCCAGCAGGTGTGGGAGTTGTTATAGAAGCTACGTAAGTATATTAATACCTGATGGTTATCCTGGTTAGCCAGACAGCCTGCAGGAGTAGGAGTTCCTATCGGAGTTTTGTAAGTATCTGAACAGATTTTATTATCCTAGTTATTGTACAGCTAGTCGGAGTAGTTGTTATCAAAGCTACGTAAGTATTTAAACGGCTCATAGTTATCCTGGAGGAGTAGAGGTTAACAAAGCTATGTAAGTATCTAAACAATTTATGTTTATCATGGTTAGATGTACACATGTTAGGCCAGCAGGAGTGAGGTTGTTATTGAAGCTTGGTAAGTATCTAAACGGCTTTATGATTATCCTGGATCAGGAATGGGAGTTGTTATTGAAGGTACGTAAGTATCTAAGCAACTTAATATGTTTATCATGGTAGTTGTTAAGCCAGCAGGAGTTGAAGTTGTTATTGAAGCTTGGTAAGTTCTAAACGGCTTATGATTATCCTGGAGAATGGGAGTTGTTATTGAAGCTACGTGAGTATCTAAACAGCTGAATGTCATGACTACTGTATTGAGAAGATTGAAACAAATCCCAGTAATGCAGGGATGGTCACACATGTGTCTTTTAGAATTACATGAGAAATGACTAGGGATTTTAATTGATAATTTTAATGTCTTACTTCCACCTCCATATGAGCAGGGGAAGCAGGTCTAATGCATGTAATTGTACATATACTTATTACGGATGTACATGCATAAAGGCCCTTTCACAATTGGCGCACGAGCAGACGCGACAAAATATTCGTGCGACTGAAAAAAATTGATTTGGATCGTAAACTATTGCCGAAATAATCGCATATGAAAAAGTGTTCGTACGAAATTTGCAAGATCTAAAGCGAACGTCGTGCGATTCAAACGCATTAAATCTTGCGATATATCTTGCGTCTATATGCGACTGATATACAATGAAAGCGAGAGTTGTAAGATAATACGATAGAATCGCGCGAGTGATCAGGTGATCGGACAACTGAACGTGCGCCAATGCGATTGGACGTGCGGCGCTTGTGCGATCATGCGTTCCATGGTACGAATATTCGTTCGAGTGCATTAAGGCAACGCCCATCAGCCACGCAATTCTAAATTTAGAGAACCTGACACAGTGCTGTAATTTTTCTTATTTCTTCTTATATTTTTATCGTTTAGAATGTGCGTAATTAATTATTGACTGTATTATTATGACAGCAAAGTGTTTTGGCGGTTTGATATCGTATTGGTGTATAAATACAATATATATGGTGTATATATATATATATATATATATATATATATATATATATATATATATATATATATATATATATATATATATATATATATATATATGTATGTATGTATATATATATATAATATTTGCATGGCAAATTGAAGCTGATAAATCGTGCAGTGATAGTAAAACGTTGCAAGATTACACGAGACACGTTGAGCAACAGTCTCATGGTCGCAAAACACTGCTGCGATTCATCTTACGACCTTTAAAAATCGTGCATTACTCTTACGAGTACACAAAACGTTGTAAGGCGTTCGTACTAATGTTCGTGCTTTGCATTGCGATAATTTGGATCGCATTTGGTCGCGTCTGAATAGTGTGCATGTCCACTATTTTGAGGAGACTGATGCGACCACTTAAACGCATGCAACGAATGCGAGACATCGTGCAACGTATGCGAGAGCTCGTGCGAAGCTAAAAAATTCCGATCGCAAAGTGTTGTAAAGTGCTCGTGCTTTCGTGTGAAAGGGCCTTAAGGCGCTGGCTAATGGAAGAGACATTGTAGCGGTAATGTATACTTATAAATGTAGCGATAATGTTTACTTTTTTGTAGCGGTATTGAGTGTATATACCGGTAATGACTATTTTGAAAATGTAGCGGTAATGTTAATGTACTGCACCCATGCAGAGCTATATTGATTAATTACAGATGCAATTTTCAGTCATAAAAGGTACGGGTAATATTTAAATAAAATGCTTGATTATAATTCATTGGTTGTAATTAGTGTTATAAACTTAAATTCAGGACCATTAAAAATAGTTTTTGAGTGAAAACTTTCAAGAACTATTTTCTCCTTTGACATGTCACGACAATTTTTTGTTCATACTGTAGTTCATATCTTGACTTCTGTATTGTGTTTCACAGTTTTTGAACCATTTATGAATATCTGGTATTGGTCCCATTTGTAGACATATGTGCATGGTCATGCGTGGTGTACAGAAGATTAACAGTAAGACTGTGACAAGTACTATGCTGGGTGTCTTCCGAGAAGATCCGAAAACCCGCGAGGAATTCCTCTCTCTCATTAGGTGATAATGGAGAAAGAATTTAAAAGTTGACGTCGACGAAGGACAAAAAATATTTAATTATGTTGCTATATTAGCATTTTGTGTCTATATTCCAAGATTTCTTGACATTCTGTGAAAAAAAAATAATACATGGTGGTGTTTGTACAGTTTTATTATATATTTTACAAAAATGTTGCTTTATAATTTTTTTAAAGGGGGGGGGGGGATTTTACAGGGACATTAGGTATAGATATATTATGTCAATTCTATCAAGCTTATTTTCAGCATTTGCGGTTAAGGGAAAAGTTGACGAATACTGAAGAATTTTAAGAATTTTTACTTTAAAAACTTTTTTATTGCATAATAGTTTTATTCTATCCTATGTAATTTCATACAAAGGCCACGTTTTTACCGATATAAAAATCATTGAACTTGTAGAATTAACAACTTATTTTTCCTAAAATGATCTTAAGCTCAAGAAAAATTATGATAATCGTTAAATAAAAAAAGTAAATAAATAAGATAGTGGACAATCTTTTAAAAGAAACAATTCAGAAAACTTTTCCGCTATTGATTGAAATAAAATGACACATAATGTGTACACATTTTACATACTCAAAGCAACTTTGTGACGAGGAGATAGCTTTTATTATGCATAATGCAACTTAACCAATTTATAATTTTTTCCCCAAATATTGCAATTTAAGAGAAACTGTGTTTACTTCAAGAACAAGAAAGAGAATATATAAAGTATAGGATCCTTTTCCAAACGCGGATTGTATATTACAATTTACATGTATAGTATTTTGTGGTTGTTAGTGTCAATTTTTTTTTTCAAAAATACAATGCTGTATTGTGGATGGCATAAACACTCATTTGACTCTCCTTTAAATTTTCGAAGTGAAAAACCTTACCATAAATTTAAAAAAAAACAGTAAATAAAATAATTCATTCTTAAAATTTTTTTTTTATGTGAAAAAACTTTAGAATTAAAAAAAAGAAACATGACAGATAGATTAATCACTGAAAGTATTGTGTTTTATTTGATATGTGGACAACTTTTCTATTTCTATTTCTTTGAACAAAATTTGTTTTCTTTATTCACAAAATTCAGAGTCGTACTAGTATTTTGTAACTTTTATGTATGATGTAAATTTTGTTTTTACTCAATATTAAATTCTATGACGGATGCAAAGTTTATTATACGTTGATTATGTACTGGTATGCTGGATACTTGTTTTATTGTACCGTTTTAAAGACATACATTATTATATATATATGCATTAAAACATTTGTTTCCCAATTCCCTTGTTATTCTGCCTGATTAAAACGTTTATGAACGGTCCGAGAGGTCATATTTAGTGAGAGGTCCGAGAGGTCATATTTAGTGAGAGGGTGTAAATAATAAATTATTCAAGTATTAAGAAGCAAGACGTTTTAGACGAGGCTGTAGCTCTACTGAATGAACATCTGCATGGGAGAACAGGTCATTTGTAATATCGTTTTTGTGTATAAACTAGCAACACCTCCTCTAATTACATCAGACAAAAGTACCAGAAACTTTCCACATAATAATAATGTGTAATCATGTTGTGGGTGAATTAAAAAATAATGACCAATTGCAACAAACTGATTTTTTTTTTATATAATTCAACTTACCATAGCATATTTTTCAATTACAACACAAGAGAACTTCATTTGAGAAAAGAAAATATTACTACAATCTAAAAGACTTTCTGAAATACATGATCAAATGAAATGGTAGGTTTTTTTCCAGACTTGTGCCAGGGATGTAAATGATTAGATCTAAACCTTGATTGAGTTTCTTCTCTAGTTAACGTGGGGAAAAAATGGTTTTTGGTTGTTATTTATCATCAATTGTCACAATTCTGGGTTTGAAAAGTTTTAATAGGAAAGAAATTATGATGCAATAAATTTCCCAAAAATTACTTTTTTATGAATTTAGTAAATCCTTCAAATCTAAGCCAAAAAAGAAGTTTTCTTATAGAAAATACTAGATTTTAAATAAATCCTATTTTACCTCATTTTATTGTACTTCTGACATCTAGTATGTTTTTTTTTTTTATGAAACAATTTTTTAAAATTTTTAACAAACAATATCTCGATTCAAATTTTGTAAAGCAGTTTATTGTCGATATTTTTACCCATTTACTGAAATGCTTACATATTTTCTTATTCCTCGTCATATGTTTTGTTCTTTGTCCAACTACAAAATAGAGCTGAAAGAAAAAAGAACATAATTAGATAATTGGTTCTCCATCAGGACAGAAGCTTCGCTGAAACATACTATTGCAACGCCTTTAAATTCACTGTTTCCACCGTGTCCACCGCGTTGATGTTACTAAAAAATACAACAAAGAATATAAGATGCCTGTTTTATACTCATTATAATAAAGAATATTATACTCATAACAACAACTTCACTTATACTCATAGAAATAACATACCCAAAACAAACAACAGTAACTAATATTCATAACAATAACATTTAACTGAAACTCATAACAAATAACTACTAAAAGTAACAAAACTAATATACTAAGTAACTAACAAAACCAACATACCAAGTAACTGACAAAACTAACATATAATTAAGAGGCCGTGTCACGAATCATTAAGCTTCAAATGGAAACTGAAAATTTTAACCTACTGTTTTCTTTTATTATTAATTTTTTCTAACACAAAATTAACACATTACAAATTACTTATAATGGTAACAAAACTAACCAGAAAGTAATAAACTTACAAAATTCAATGAGACTATCCTACCTCTACTATACCTTAATGATCAAGAAATACCTCCATTCCAGAGTTGTTTGGGATGCTGTTCCAATCCATTTTGATAAGCTAGCCTCCAAATCCTTTTCGACAAATTCCAACGATGAAGCACCGGCAAATAGAGAAGAGGGATTAAGGAAGCTCTAAACAGTAGTGAAAAATGTTTTTAGACATTGAGAAAATTATATTCATATAATAGCTTATATTTTTCAATTTCAACGTAGGGTACCTGGCATATTTCTCCAGGAAAATTTCCAAAGACGATTAAATAATAGTGAACAAAAATCAATGATGTTTCCTAACTGTACTGCCTTCCATGTCATTTTTAATTGAAACATATAAACACGGATTACAGTCAGTTAACCAGGTTTTATTGTCACAAACAGTTCACATAGGGGCGCGGATCCTAATATGCGCAGGTGTCACTGTTTACAATAGGTGACGATATACAGTAGCTGTGTGAGTTGTGTGTGGGTGTGTGGATGGTAAAAAGCTATAATAAACAAATACAAATATACAAATACAAGCTACAAACAAAATCACTACAAAGACACAAAGTTTGAATGAACTCGATCAAGTTACATTCCTGACAAATTAGATACACAGATTTACTCGCTAAAAGTACACATGAACTTTTTACAGAGGTATTTAATGTCGCTTTACATTAGCCTTAAAGTTGCAGCTTTAAAAACAATAAACTGAAAACTTGTAAAACTTACATTGTGATCGGCCACAGTTTCTCCGAGATTAATAACGTCTGAACCTGTATATTTCTGAGTCTTTTACAATAATGAATTTTGTGAGTGAAAATACAGACTAAATAGTAAATCTACACAGGAAACAGCATAGTTTCATAATTAAAATAAATATCAAACTGCAGGCCCTCCCAAGTTAAATAAACAAAACGCAGCAAATTTTGACTTTAACATAAACAGCAGACAGGACTTTATGGTCAGTCAGCAAAATTCAAGCGTGAGAATATAATTATAAAAACAATTTGAACAATGAACAATGTATTTAGTCATACAGATATTGACACATTTGTGACTGTACCTAAAAATGCATAATCTGCAAATTTCTAAATAACAATGTACAGAACGTAAGACATTACACTAACATTGGGAAAATACACGTAGATAATGTTTTCGATTACTTTATTTTGGTCTAAAATAATGTTATGAATACTTAAGTCTATTTTTAGTTGTGTCATTTAAATTAAGACTTTAGTTTATTCTATATTACATCAAGGATCAGATCACTCTAACTGCATAAAACTACCACAGAATAAGAACTCTTCAGTGAGCAGTGTTTAGAGCTTCCTTAAGACAAAAACAAAGGAAAAACATAAAAAGATGTGCTGAGAATGCATGTTAGTATACTTAAAAGAAGTGCAAAAATAAATAAAAGATCGAACGTTAAGTATTCCTTAATGACTTAGAAATGTCTCCATTCCCTCTAGCTTGCTGAGGATGCTGTTCCAATCCAATATGCCCAGCCAGCGTCCAAATCTTTCTTCCACTAATTCCAACGATGAAATCTCGACAAATAGAGAAGAGCGATCAAGACAAATGATAAATACATGCCGGAGTTGGCCATAGCTTTAAGGAAAAGCAGGCAGGGTTCCGGAGAGGGACTATTAACCAGATCTTCATCCTCAGGAACATCCTGGAGCAATCCAACGGGTGGAACGCTACCTTGTAGATCCATTTTGTGGAGTTTGAGAAAGCGTTCGACACCTGCACAGAGACAGCATTTGGGTCATCATGAAGAAATATTGAATACTCAAAAAAAAACCTGATTCAGATGGTGAAAGCCCTGTATGAAGATTTTCAGTGTTCCGTGATTGATGACGAGACCACAGCCCTTTCCCTTTGATGACCGGTGTCAAACAAGGCTGATGTATGTCAGGTTTCTTGTTCCTTCTTGTGATAGACTGGATGATGTGACAGACAGTCAGGGAAGAGAGTTTGGGAATTCGACGTGACTTCACCACTATGCTTAAAGACCTCGACTTTGCGGATGACATTGCCCAACTGTCATCAACAGTAAACCATCTCCAGTCTATTCATTTGTATTCATATGAAGCAGAATTTGTTCAAAATCTTATACGTGACAAGAAGAAAACACTTGCTGTGGCCTTCAACTCGACATTTAGATATATCGACGACGTATTGTCAATTAACAATGGTTATTTCCATTCTTATGTCGATACGATATATCCCGGTGAGCTTGAGATAAAAGATATCACAGAGTCTGACACATCTGTTTCATATTTGGATATTTTACTTGAAAAAGACGTCAATGGTAATCTAACAACCAAGCTTTATGATTAACGTGATGACTTCAACTTTTCAATCGTCAACTTCCCTTACTTATGCAGCAATAATACCTT